ATTTCCTTATTCCCACCCCTCCCTATTTCTAAATAACAAGGTTGGCAACGCATCCACAATAAACGTGTTGCGTATGTCCATGGGCGACGGTACTACCTACTACACCAAGTAGGCCGTCTGCTCGTTTACTACCTTTGACATAAAAGAAAAGACGGGTTGGCGATTTCAAACTTATTATTGGAAATTATAAGTCCAGGTTAACTCACGAAGTTTTCCTTCACCGCCTATCAGTGACTCTTAGAAAGTACATATGACTTGGAAAAATAACATTGGTACTTGCCAGGTTTCGAAACCGCGCCCTCATGCATAAGAAGCATGCCTTTAACCACTAGGCCACCGACACATAAAATTTGAAAATATCCAAGTAATAAATCTCGTTAAAGACGATCGAAGGCAGTGTTTGATAATATTACTTGTCAGTGTAGTTTATTAACCACTCTTCTATTTTGACGTAAATATTTTATTAAAAATATACAATATACAAGGCCTGGTTTATCATTCGGAAACTCTGACAGCACAGTGCACCTGGTCGGTCGTTATAAAGCACCCATTGTGTGACCAAGAGACCATTCAGGGTGAAACGTGTAATAACATTTTAAAGTTATGTATTAAAATAGTCTGAAATATATTTTATATTGAAAAGGAACTTCGACATTTTTGAATATCTTTCATCTCTTGCTAGAACTAAGTTATTTTAGTAAAAGCACTTAAGTTTGGGTTAGTTACTTTGTGTCTTCTATAGAATTTACTGAATTGAGCAGTACTATCCTCTTTCAGAAGATCTGTTTGGATATACAAATACATAACATAGATAAATTTTTGATAGGTGACCAGAAGCTTCTAAAACTTTTACACGCTCACACACACATTTTATTTCATTTATCTAGCAATATAAATACATTTTGAATGTTGAATAAAATGCAAAACAAATTTGAAGTAAGCCTTCTTGGAAAGCATTTCATTCTTTGGTATCAGCAAACTGCCTCCTAACCGCTGTAGAAATTAAGCTCTTATATCTCTATTATAGCTCTATCATTACCTATATTTGTATAAAAGCTTTTAAGAAAAAAGTATATGGGCGCGGTTGTGGATACCGAATTATATTTATAAAATTGTATATTGTTATTCGTTTAACTTTAAATGAGTTTGTAACACTTTGTGCTACCCTCTTCTAAAATTATTAAATACAGTCTTTAAAAGGGCGAACATTGTCAGTGAGCATTCATTCTATTAGTTGCACCAAGTGAGATAACATTGTAAGCTGAAACTCTCGAAGTTTGAATATAAATCTGTTACTGTGAAGTCTGTGGTATTATTTCTAAAGCAATCTATAAAGAAAATGGATCCCGATGACAATCCGAAGCACGCTACTCCGACAGCAGCGGTGGGATCCCATTCGCCAATTTTGGGAGGCTCACGGGACGGGAGTCGAAACGACCAGACTTTAGCAATGCAAGAGGAACGTTAAGAGGCAATTTCTATCTACCACCCTTCGACCCGGACGTCCGCTCACACGACATTCAAGACTGGTACGCGGGCGTGGATGAGGTGATTGCTGCCGGCGGTATGTCGCAGCGGGAGGCAAGAGTGGGAGCTGTGCTGCACCTGGAAGGAAGGGCTGAGATCTGGGCTGACGCGTGGTCGCTGCAGTCGGCGTCGTGGCAGCAAGTGAAGGAGGACCCCATTCGAGCCTTTGGGTAGGAAGTTCGCTACGCTGACGACGTCCAGAGGTGGCGCGGCTACACGTCTGAGCGGGCGGACGGTTGCTCCGATCGCGCAACGACGGGCTGGACGCTGTTCGGGCGCGTCAGGCCGGAAGCGAGTGATTGAAAAATTATTGACGCTTTGTTAACAGGTATTTATCGTGACTAAATTAGAAGTGAATTATTAAGGACTATATCCAGTTCTTTAACTCTCTAAGTGTCTGTTTAAAAAATATATATATATATATAAACTTATAAAATGAGTAAATATTATAATATCGAAAGTAGCAATAGTAACCAATGTAAAAGAACATGGCCGACAGTTAGCTAGTAAATCGTATGGTAATTGTTATATGTAATTGTAATGAACCCGGAAAATAAAAGAACTGTTACATCCGGAGGTCCATTGGCTTTAAATACCGTAAATAATACTAATAATATAATAAAATATTCTGAATGAAGTTACTGTCTTGAGCGAGGTCATGTTGAAAAAATAAAAATAAATATTGCTTCTTTAAACAAAGTGAGTGTTCGAAGTCAAATAATCTAAGTATTGGTTTGTGTATTTCAAGGGATCGTAGTATAACTGATATAAAGATAGGTGGTCGGACTTATTGCGCCTTGGTCGATACTGCTCTTTAATTAGAAATAAACTCGCGGGATCTATTCGAAACAAGTGAGAAATCGTTAGTGTGTCATTTATGGGTATAGGCGGGTGTCCAGTAACAGTAGAACGACGTTTGCACTGAAATAGAATTTTATGCAGTCGGCGATACTCAATCTCAGCTTGACATTTTAACGTTTCGACGATATTAAAACCCCAGGTCTAAGCGTTACTTTTTGTAAAGAGGGTACATCGATAAAACGTAGTTTTATTATAAATGAAAGTGTCACCATTACTAATTCTGATGACTTTAATATAAATACTGATATTCAAGATCCAATATTATTATCGAAATTAAAAAGAACTCTTGACACCTTTAAACACAGTTTTAGAGTCGGTAATTAAAACGGGCGAATTAAGCATCAAACTGAAAAATCCAGATAAAATAGTTCAACGTAGACCGTATCGAATGTCATCATTAGAACGTGAAACTGTTAAAAATATTATAAATGACCTAAAAGCTAATAATAATAATAGGTATTATTCGAGATAGTTCTACCCCGTTTAGTAACCCGATCCATTTAGTTAAGAATAAAAACGGGTCTGACCGTCGCGTCTGTAAGGGATAATTATTCACTACCATTAATCGCGAACCAAATTAATAAATTAGGTAAGGAGCGATTCTTTACGTGTTCAGATATAGCGGCCGGTTTTCACGGAATTGTAATCAGAGAACACTTTATTAAGAAAATCGCATTTGTTATCCCAGATGGACAATTTGAGTATTAACGTATGACTTTTGGATTGTGTAATGTACCCGCGGTATATCAGCGTGCTATAAATAAAGCTTTAGGTGACTATAAAGATAAAATAACCCTCGCTTAGGTTGAGGACGTCACGATTACGTCACGGGATATTGAAGAGGTTATACCTAAATTTAAACTTAGTATTACACGGATTGTCCGATGCGGGTTTTTCAATAGATATTTCCAAATTTTCTTGCCTTAAAACTAGCGTAAACGTTTTTGTATCAGATAAAAATGGTGATTTTCTACCATTTAATTTATCTATAAATATTTCAATTATTGATCATAATTGGCTTCTCATAGAACAAAAGCGTGACCCTTTCTTAAAACAATATTGTTGTCAAATTAAAATCGGATTCAATTCCCCAAACATTAGCGGATACATATGTTATTTTAAAAGATAAATTGTTTAGGCGTAAAAATTCAAATAGACAATAAAACATTGAAACTGATTATAGTACCCCGTTATCATTGTTGGAGTCTTATTTCCCATTATCATGATTCTTTACAACATTTTGCCTGATAAAAGTTTTAGCTAAAATCAGAGAACAATATTGGTTCCCCGATATGTCAAAGTTGGTTAGGAAATTCGTAGAAAATAGCGTTAGTTGTCGTGTTAGAAAAGGAATATCAGGCGCTAAGCAAATAAGATTACATCCGATCGATAAAGTCAGCATCCCTTTTCATACAATACACGTCGACGTTACAGGTCGTATGAACGGTAAACGTAACCAGGCTGAGTATGCGTTTGTGTTTAATGACAGTTTCACTAAATACGCCAATCTCGTATATACAAATGACCGCACGACAGAAACCGCGATAAAAAGTTTACGTAACGTTATCTCAATATTCGATACCCTAGTCGTCCCATATCCGACCAAGACGACAGCATGACCTCCGCGTATTTTAAACTATTTTGTAATGAGAACGGTATAGAACATCATAGCGCCAGGGGCGCCAGTAGGGCTAATGGACAGTTAGAACTAATTGTGAAGGTCATTAAAGATTATAATTTGTCAGTAATTGAACTTAATAAGCCGTGGCTTAGTGCGATACAAGAGCTACAATTGGCAATAAATTCCACAATATCAAAGTACCGGTAAAAGCCCCTTAGAAATATTAATTAGTAAAAAGTGCTCGCCACCGCTTATTAAACTATTACAAGTTGATGATGATGAACCTATAGAAAATTTAAATTGTGTAAAGCTTCTTTGTAAAAAAAAAAAAAAAAAAAAAAGGATGGCCGAGCGATCTCATCAGGACAAACTAAGGTTCGATAAAAGGGTAAAGCAAAAAATAATCCATTTAAAGTCGGGGATTTTGTTCTCATGAGTCGTCATGAAAGAAACACTACAAAACTTGGTTCTAAATTTGAACGTGCTATGGAGATTCTAGAAATTTTACTTAACGATCTTTATAAATTGAAACGCCCTCAACCTTAAAGGATGTAGTGAAAAGATCGCTAGCCATGACTTTTTTTTAAATGATGATTAGATTATAAAGACGATTAGCATATGTTTTAATTATAAGTGATAAACTACTTTGTATGTGACATATTTTCTTGTTTTAGTATTAATAGGAAAGAACAATTATTGAAAGATTACTTGTACTATACTTGTTTGTTCAAAACGAAATTATGTGAAGAGTATCCTTGTTTACCTTGTATAGACGATGAGCATATGTTTTAATTATAAGTGATAAGCTACTTTGTATGTGACATATTTTCTTGTTTTAGTATTAATTGGAAAGAACAATTATTGAAAGATTACTTGTACTATACTTGTTTGTTCAAAAACGAAATTATGTGAAGAGTATACTTTGTATAAGGGCAAGACCCCATGATGAGTGAGCCGTATGGGCAAGACCCCATGATGGGTGAGCCGTGAGTTATGTATTGGCAAGACCCCGTAATGGGTGAGCCGTGAGTTGTGTGTTGGCAAGACCCCGTAATGGGTGAGCCGTGAGTTGTGTATTGGCAAGACCCCGTAATGGGTGAGCCGTGAGTTGTGTGTTGGCAAGACCCCGTAATGGGTGAGCCGTGAGTTGTGTATTGGCAAGACCCCGTAATGGGTGAGCCGTGAGTTGTGTGTTGGCAAGACCCCGTAATGGGTGAGCCGTGAGTTGTGTATTGGCAAGACCCCGTAATGGGTGAGCCGTGAGTTGTGTGTTGGCAAGACCCCGTAATGGGTGAGCCGTGAGTTGTGTATTGGCAAGACCCCGTAATGGGTGAGCCGTGAGTTGTGTGTTGGCAAGACCCCGTAATGGGTGAGCCGTGAGTTGTGTATTGGCAAGACCCCGTAATGGGTGAGCCGTGAGTTGTGTGTTGGCAAGACCCCGTAATGGGTGAGCCGTGAGTTGTGTGTTGGCAAGACCCCGTAATGGGTGAGCCGTGAGTTGTGTATTGGCAAGACCCCGTAATGGGTGAGCCGTGAGTTGTGTGTTGGCAAGACCCCGTAATGGGTGAGCCGTGAGTTGTGTATTGGCAAGACCCCGTAATGGGTGAGCCGTGAGTTGTGTGTTGGCAAGACCCCGTAATGGGTGAGCCGTGAGTTGTGTGTTGGCAAGACCCCGTAATGGGTGAGCCGTGAGTTGTGTGTTGGCAAGACCCCGTAATGGGTGAGCCGTGAGTTGTGTGTTGGCAAGACCCCGTAATGGGTGAGCCGTGAGTTGTGTGTTGGCAAGAACCCGTAATGGGTGAGCCGTGACTGGGCAAGAACCCGTAATGGGTGAGCCGTGAGTTGGCAAGACCCCCGCTGTGGATGAGCCAGGACTGGGCAAGAACCCGTAATGGGTGAGCCGTGACTGGGCAAGAACCCGTAATGGGTGAGCCGTGAGTTGGCAAGACCCCCGCTGTGGATGAGCCAGGACTGGGCAAGAACCCGTAATGGGTGAGCCGTGACTGGGCAAGAACCCGTAATGGGTGAGCCGTGACTGGGCAAGAACCCGTAATGGGTGAGCCGTGAGTTGGCAAGACCCCCGCTGTGGATGAGCCAGGACTGGGCAAGAACCCGTAATGGGTGAGCCGTGACTGGGCAAGAACCCGTAATGGGTGAGCCGTGAGTTGGCAAGACCCCCGCTGTGGATGAGCCAGGACTGGGCAAGAACCCGTAATGGGTGAGCCGTGACTGGGCAAGAACCCGTAATGGGTGAGCCGTGACTGGGCAAGAACCCGTAATGGGTGAGCCGTGAGTTGGCAAGACCCCCGCTGTGGATGAGCCAGGACTGGGCAAGAACCCGTAATGGGTGAGCCGTGACTGGGCAAGAACCCGTAATGGGTGAGCCGTGACTGGGCAAGAACCCGTAATGGGTGAGCCGTGAGTTGGCAAGACCCCCGCTGTGGATGAGCCAGGACTGGGCAAGAACCCGTAATGGGTGAGCCGTGACTGGGCAAGAACCCGTAATGGGTGAGCCGTGACTGGGCAAGAACCCGTAATGGGTGAGCCGTGAGTTGGCAAGACCCCCGCTGTGGATGAGCCAGGACTGGGCAAGAACCCGTAATGGGTGAGCCGTGACTGGGCAAGAACCCGTAATGGGTGAGCCGTGAGTTGGCAATACCCCCGCTGTGGATGAGCCAGGACTGGGCAAGAACCCGTAATGGGTGAGCCGTGACTGGGCAAGAACCCGTAATGGGTGAGCCGTGACTGGGCAAGAACCCGTAATGGGTGAGCCGTGAGTTGGCAAGACCCCCGCTGTGGATGAGCCAGGACTGGGCAAGAACCCGTAATGGGTGAGCCGTGACTGGGCAAGAACCCGTAATGGGTGAGCCGTGACTGGGCAAGAACCCGTAATGGGTGAGCCGTGAGTGGCAAGACCCCCGCTGTGGATGAGCCAGGACTGGGCAAGAACCCGTAATGGGTGAGCCGTGACTGGGCAAGAACCCGTAATGGGTGAGCCGTGACTGGGCAAGAACCCGTAATGGGTGAGCCGTGAGTTGGCAAGACCCCCGCTGTGGATGAGCCAGGACTGGGCAAGAACCCGTAATGGGTGAGCCGTGACTGGGCAAGAACCCGTAATGGGTGAGCCGTGACTGGGCAAGAACCCGTAATGGGTGAGCCGTGACTGGGCAAGAACCCGTAATGGGTGAGCCGTGACTGGGCAAGAACCCGTAATGGGTGAGCCGTGACTGGGCAAGAACCCGTAATGGGTGAGCCGTGACTGGGCAAGAACCCGTAATGGGTGAGCCGTGACTGGGCAAGAACCCGTAATGGGTGAGCCATTTAATTAGTTTGTTCACAGGTACCATAGAAACCGCGCGGGGAAACAGCGCGGGGAGCGCGCTGGATCAGAATGGCCGTATGGGCGCGGTTGTGGATACCGAATTATATTTATAAAATTGTATATTGTTATTCGTTTAACTTTAAATGAGTTTGTAACACTTTGTGCTACCCTCTTCTAAAATTATTAAATACAGTCTTTAAAAGGGCGAACATTGTCAGTGAGCATTCATTCTATTAGTTGCACCAAGTGAGATAACATTGTAAGCTGAAACTCTCGAAGTTTGAATATAAATCTGTTACTGTGAAGTCTGTGGTATTATTTCTAAAGCAATCTATAAAGAAAATGGATCCCGATGACAATCCGAAGCACGCTACTCCGACAAGTATTACCCCACATATGAGGATTTAATCAAAAAGTTTTAATTAATATGGTCTAAATAACATAATTTTCGGAGATTTTTTTTATGTAACAAAATAATTTTAATGCATCCGTAACAAAAGAAAATGTGAATTCACGTCTACGAAAATCAAAGAAAGGCTAATCGTCGTATTATTTTTAAATATGCTAAGTAAACCATTTTATCTCTATTTTCTACATTTATTATTATATATTGAAAAACTTAAGCGATTTGAAATTAAAAGATAATAAAACAACTAAAATATAATATAATAAAGCCGCTTAACAAAAAGCGAGTTATTCTTTACTATTTGTTCGTTTAATAAATGAGATGTGAATGTGATTGTGCGCAGACTGATAAAGTTGAATTTGTAATGAAATGTAAAATAGACAGACAAATTGCCTCACTGCTTATACATATGTTAAGAGTTCGTTAGTGAAAATTTTGATTTAATAATGAAAATGTATTTGTTCAGTTGTTTAAACACTTACTGTTTTGATGTTAAAAAAGTTATTAAGTAACTGTGACTAATATTTTTCGGATTACTACTCTTATTTTATTAAAACTACATACTCCAGAAGTTTCAGTTACTTTTCAGTGTTTAGCAACCGTGATTACAAGCTGACGAACTGTGAACCAATAATAATAATTATGTACCAATAATAACAAGCCCATCAAAACTATTTTCCATTACGAATTCTAAGTTTTTGATGCACAAATAATATTCTAAAAAAATTGTTTATGATTTTAGTACAATAAACAATCAGAGTAACTGGATATCGTAGTAACATTCCAAGTTCGCCCGAAGTATTTTGACTTCATTTTAAAACACTTTTATCCCATCATTCTAATGTAATATTACTATAAATATAAAGAATTTCAAGTAGTTAGGTCATGAATTTATTAAAAACCTTTTTCTTCTAAGACTTTCTCAAGGAATCATTTCAATTAACCTTATATTTTTCGAATTATACTATGCGTATTTTAATACCGTAAAAACAACATAATCCCGACGTTTCGGCTACTTTGCAGCAGTCAGCAACCATGGTCACGGGCAGAGGAGAGAGACGTAGTTTGATCCGAAAAATATAAGTTTGATTTAGTTTAAAAGCTCTTTCTTATTTACTTTTATGAGAAAGTCTTTGTAATAACTATCTCATAGTTGTCTAAGATAAGGTCGCCCACTTTATAAACGAAATACAATAACTATCAAGAGTTTACTGATAAAATAATAAGAAACTAATTATCAAAATAATTGAGACGAGTCAAGCTTAGCCTACATCGAAAATAACCAAATAATTGTTTAAAAATGTACGTATTGATTAAGGTAAAAACAAGTTAGAAGGGCTCCTTAATACATTTTATTACTTTGAGAAGTTATTAAATAACCAACATTTTTTACACATACGAAGTGTATTAAATTGGAAAGTCTTTTAAATATTGGGAATATTTAAGTAATCTCATCTTACAATGTATTTAATTTTTTACGCATGTATACACAATATTCATATATATGTATCTATATATGTTTAGAAACCTCGTTGGCCTATTCCTCCGTCTATTTTTTTTTCTAAAACTAAATCGGCTGATATTTTTTTGAAGGGATTTTTCCTCCATAGAGCTGAGGTAATAAAAAATAAATTAGATAACTTTTATTTCAATAATTTATTTATTTTTAATTATACTAAAGTATCTATTTATTTTATCAAGTTTTGTTATCGTAGAGTTTGCTTAATATAAACTTTAATGAAGACAGAATAGAGTTTGTCACATAAAAAAAAAATACATAGTTATGTGCACTTTTCGAAGTAATAAAGTTATCTTTTTTAATTATATTAATTGTCACAAGACATTATCCTTTAATACACGATATAAACAGCTATTTCATTTTTTAAGTATAATTCTCTTAGCCTCAACGTCTTCATCGCCACTCGGGAAATAGAGTGTCTTGGATTTTCATTTTTATTTCCACTCTGGCGTTATTAAAATTAAGCTTTCTTGTAATAATCACGCTTACTTAAATATTTAACAAGTTCTTATCTTAAATAAAAGTTTTGTAATTATAATTAAAATACAACTTCTCATGTTATTTTGTTTTGTTATAAGAAAATTTTAATAATAATTGTATTCAATAAATAATTTTGTAACAATCTCTTTATGTTCAAGGAATCGTTAAATGCTTAAAAATAATATTTTATCACAAACAAAGACGTAAAAGATGTTGTTTTTAATTTTAATAAATTCTTTTAAAAAGAAATAACATGTTATTTTTCATCTCAACTATAACTAGTAATGTCAAATTAAATATACAATATGTATCAACCCAACCCTGCTAGTACTATAAGAATATACATATGGGTATAATTTTATGCAGTAATTAAAAAATTAAAATGATATTAATAAATAAAAAAGATAAATAGAATTTCAAAGATAAAACAATAATATTATAAAATAAAATATTAAATGACAATTATGTGAAGTTAATTAGAATATATTATCATTTAAAGATTGTACGTATTATGTACGTGTATGTATTATGTACATTTGTAAATTTAATCATTAATGAATATCTTATAATAAATATTAAATCTCAAAGCATATTCTCGCATCACTATTTATTAATAGCATCTCTTGGATCCTGTTCTAAAATCATTTGCGTAACGCAGTAGACATCTTCGTGTTTATTTCAATATTATCTGTTATTGAGTGTTTGTCAAATAAACGTTACTATCTCAATCTGTTTATAGAACAGATACTACATGATACAACTCAATATAATGAATATTCACGAGAGACGTCTGACAATATTTTCCAACTCCATATAAAAATAATCACTGACGCGTTTAATAAGAAGTTACTGGAATTGATTTTTTCTGATGAAGGGATATGTAAATATGAACCCTTTATTATAACTGGGACAATCCCTGAAGAAAACAATTTAAGTAGAATAATACGAATTTTGTACAAATTGATTTTGTTTTGTTGTATTGAAGTACATATATAACGATAGTTTTATAATGTGATCTAAGAATTTTGCGAATATTAATTTAAACGTATCTGATTTTAACGGTCACAATTTAGTTAACTCATGGTAAGTTTTTTGAAAATGTATTACGAATTAAGAAAACATGACGAAGTTATAAACTATAAAACTTACAGTAACATCGTTATCAAAACATAATTCAACTTTAAGTAGAGTCTGTGTTAAGTAAATGATTAAAACTGAGTGGGCAGTTTGTATCATGTTTCATTTCTCTGAAGTTGTATAATGTTTATAAACAATCTTAAATTAAGGTCTCATTATACTCCATACAATTTATTATATTCAATCAATACTAATTAATCAGCTCTCGATAATTTCTTAATAAGTTGAATTAAAGTAAAGAAATCTTTGAAAGGATTTAGTTCATCAAATTTTAAGAAGGATTAAAATAAAAAATAATTGTCGAACATATATATGTATTAATGAAACTTATATTATTTGGACTACTACGCGTACTTTATTATTTTAAAAAAGTAAATACTCCCGACGCGACGTTTCGGTTATTTTTCAGCAACCGTGATCGGGACAGACGAGTAGTTTTATTATATTATATCGTAGAATAGTAGTTAATAGCTTGTATAGAGTGTAGGATCCTCTCAATTTCACAAGAAAATTGACGAGCACAGCTGTTTTCTCAGAGTTTACACTCAACCTAAGTCAACTCACAAAACACAAAACACCTTGGATTGAGTGTCCGTCTACGTTTGAAAATGTAATATTACTAATAATAATTGTAGATAGCAGTTAATTCAACTTAAATTCAGACATAGACGTGAAACAATCTAATCTCTAAAATGCTAAGTGAACACCATTTTCATTAAATTGTATATTACACAAAATACTGCTAGCACAACACTTTTGCAATCTTAAAAAATTATATACATATAATTCCGACACTTGTATTTGTTTAGTACAGAAAGTTCTCGTCTGTAAGTTATCGATTAGAATTTTGATATTTATATACAAAAGAAAAATTCATATAAATAGCAGGAAACACCGAATGAAATATTTATATCGTTGACGTGCCGTTGAAATGATGCTTCTAAATCAAACATAATTTACTCTGCTTATTATAAATATTGCTTTATTATAAAAAATCCAAAGCCGTTATTATCTTTAATAATTCCGACACTCAATCTTTTTCGCACTTAAACGAGATTACTATCATATAAAATTATTACACCACTTATAAGTAACATGTTGCTCTGGTTTATGTACGTTTTATTAGAAACAGACTAATTGAATCATCATGATTAATACAATAATATTTAATTTTCAATTGCAATATTAGAAATACTTGCAGTACAAACATTTCTTAAAAATAACTTTAAAAGACATACCTCTGAAGTCTAAACGAAACTTAGCCGTATGATTATATATCTATGTATATCTTATATATGCGATTGAGTCAGTGGTGGCCTAGTAGTTAAAAGGCCCGCCCCTCATGCATGAGGGCGCTGGTTCGATCCTGGC